AGCCCAGGAGTTTGAGGTTGCTGTGAGCTAGGCTGATGCCACGGCACTCTAGCCCAGGCAAGAGAGTGAGACTCTGTCTCAAAAAAAAAAAAAAAAGAAATGTGTACACAAGGAAACAAACTTTTTTAAAAAGTTCATAAAAGCATTATTTGAAAAAACAAGGAATTGGAAGCAACTTAAATGTTTATCAACATGAAAATTAATAAGCTACTATATTCATGCAATGGAATATTACAAAGCAGTGAAAATGAATGAACTAGAGCTACATGTGTCAGTCTAGCTCCCAAACATACTATTTAATGAAATAGCCATTAAAGAAAAATACATAAAAGTGTTAACATATCAAATAATATATATAAACTTACAGATACAAAGGTATGTGGCAAAAGTTTAAAGAATTGGGAATGATAATTAATCCTTTCTGAGGGTAAAAGACAGGGGTGTGCTTGGTGAGGGGCACACAAGGGGCTTCAACCATTTTGGCATTTCTTAGCCATTTGATGAGCACACAGTTTTTTTTAGACCATTATAGAAGTCTTAAATAATTCATTATACATGTTTTTATAAAGAAATAAATGTCTTGGTGCATATGTGTAGTCCCAGCTACTGGGGAAGCTGAAGCAGGAGGATCGCTTGAGCCCAGGAGTTTGAGGTTGCAGTGAGCTATGATCACGTCTGAGAATAGCCCCTGTACTTCAGCCTGGGCAACATAGTGAGGCTCTGTCTCTAAAATTAAAAAAGTTTTAAAAAGAAATGTCTTATGCTTTATAGGATTTCATTTTTATTGATTTAATTTCTCTAAAATATTTTGTAGGAAGCAATCGGTTTTGTGAAGATTGGATGCAGGCTTTTTTGAATGGTGCTGAAGGGGGTAACCCTTTTCTTTTCCGACAAGTACTGGAGAACTTTAAACTAAAGGTAATTAGTTGGCTGTGTGCCAAGTGCCACATAAACTTTGTCTGAATTTTAATTAGTACCAGTAACAGAGTAACAAATCTGCTTTACAGCTATGATGTTTATTAATTGGGACATTCTCAAAACTGAAATCATCAGAAGACACTTACTTTATTTTAATTTTTTCAGTAGCTTCTGCATACATATCATTTCCAATAACTTGGGTTGAATGCTTGCTTAAATGTAAGGGACATCAGTCTTACCATTTGTGACATATCTTAGTTGCAAAGCACAAAAAAGTGGTTCAGTGCCTAAAGGGTTCAAAATTCTGATGGGTGTGAGTACTGTCACCTTATTTAGGAGATTTTAAAAGTATTTTTACTATATATAAGAGATTTTGTTCTACCAAGAGCAAAGCATATTGGCAATAAAAATGATGGAAATATTTAAAATAAGCAAATATCTCAGTAGCACATGCTAAGTTCTTAGCTAGATAGGAGATAATTTTTAAGCTTTATTATTTTCTGACTAAACACATATTTAACTGGTTAATCTTTTTCTAGGCCATACAAGACACAAACAATTTGAAGAGATTTATCCGGCAGGCAGAAATGAACCATTATGCTTTGTTTAAATGTTACATGTTCCTTAAGAACTGTGGTAGTGGAGATATACTTTTGAAGATTGTTAAAGTGGAACATGAAGAAATGCCCGAAGCTAAAAATGTGGTAGCTGTCCTTGAAGAATTCATGAAAGAAGCTCTTACCCAAAGTTTTTGATCATATGTTTTGAGATAAGTGTATCATGAGGTTGTATAGTCAAGCCTTACCGTTCGAAGTTGCAGTTGTTATAATTGTTCATAGGATTACTATTTGAGATTATTTGAAACTCATTCCAGATTCTTTTCTTCCTTTTGGTACTTTTAAAATTTAAAAGTCTGAGGGATGTCTTCACTGAGTCCTAGATAGATACGTGTGTTAGAGTTGTGGAAGTTTAGTATATCACTGGTCCCATAAATTCTAGACTTCAGGAAGTTGTTGCTTAAAACACTTCAGAGGCGATTTTGTTTATGGCTTCTCTCAGGAGTTTTCTGCAGTATTTAGCAACTTTTACTCTCAGCAAAATCATAATACTTCTTTCTCAATAGATTGTAGCTTCCTTTAAAAAATGTAATCTCACGCCTGTAATCCTAGCTCTCTGGGAGGCCGAGGCGGGCGGATTGTTTGAGCTCAGGAGTTCGAAACCAGCCTGAGCAAGAGCGAGACCCCGTCTCTACTAAAAATAGAAAAAAATTAATTGGACAACTAAAAATATATAGAAAAAAATTAGCCGGGCATGGTGGCGCATGCCTGTAGTCCCAGCTACCTGGGAGGCTGAGGTAGGAGGATCGCTTGAGCCCAGGAGTTTGAGGTTGCTGTGAGCTAGGATGACGCCACGGCACTCTAGCCCAGGCAAGAGAGTGAGACTCTGTCTCAAAAAAAAAAAATGTAGGCCAGATTAATCCACTACACCATTTCAAAAATCTATGCATCTTGTGGGTGCTTGATACATTTTTTTGTCTGATTGATCATGGTATGGATGATAAAGCAAGCTTTAAAGTCAATATGCAAATAAATCATGAGTAAGAAATTAAATGAGCTTTAAAAATAGGGTGCACTAGCTTCAGCATAAAACATCATCTCTGATGGAAAGCTACTGCAGAAGTGGCCCCATCACCACTTTTAGTCCATTTGTTCACAGGTATTTGCCAAGAACCTGTATTTTCTTTTTCTTTTACATGACAGTGCTGGAGTTTTTAAACAGTGTTGAGAAAAAACAAAGTACATAAATTTTACAAGCAAACTGTAACATAAGGAATGCAAACAGATTCTTCATATCAGTTACTCATTGATTTTAGTTTTTTCTACATTTGTTACAAGCCTCAAGATTGTTTAAATCAATTGAAAGCGCCCTCAGCTAGCCATTTATAATTCCCATGGAAGGCAGTTGTAGCTACACACATGATTGCAATTTGTTCTGCATAGCTCTTTAATAAATTCATTTGATAATGATTTTTGTTTAGAATATCAGAAGTCTTGTGTTCTCACTGCCCTCAAGATGCTTAGAGGAACACAAGCCTATAAAGTTAAGGAGTCCTCTTAAATGGATCTGAATTCACATTAAGTGCTGAGTTTTAACTTTCAAAATGACTGACAATGGTCTTTTGCTTTCTCCTCTACAAATTTAGGGACATGACTCACCAAGCCATTTCTTTTCCTTTAATGAGAAATACAATTCAGGATCTTCATAAATGCTTTCATATGGTTTACTTTAATAACTTGGACTGTAGGCAGTGTAGAAAAAAAATCTGAGAAGCTTTATTTGTGTTTTTGAGACAGGTTCTTGCTCTGTTGCCCAGGCTAGAGTGCAGTGGCATCATGATAGCTCACTGCAACCTCAAAACTCCTGGGCCCAAGCCATCTTCCTGCATGATGCTCCCGAGTAGCTGGGACTACAGGTGGATGCCACCATGCCTGGCTAATTTTTTATTTTTTGTTGAGACAAGGGTCTAGCTATGTTTCCCAGGCTTGTTTCAAACTCCTGGCTTCAAGCAGTCCTCCTGCCTCGGCCTCACAAAGTGCTAGGATTATAGGCATGAGCCACTGTGCCCAGCTGCATTGTTTTATAATATTAAATTCAGAATGACTGGAAAATCAGCAATTTTATGACACTATCCTTGAGTCTGGAAAACATATTTTTCATTTCCAAATTCATACGGCATTCAAGAGTCCGTGTTGTAAATGGCATTTAAAAGCAAGCATATTACCTGCTTCAAATCATTTATGGATATAGGCAAGACATAATTCTCTGTGTGTTTGTATATATTTTCTGTAATGTAGGCTCACTATATTACACGTTCTATACAATAGTCATTTTAAAAAACAAGTCTGTGGGGCCGGGCGCGGTGGCTCACGCCTGTAATCCTAGCACTCTGGGAGGCCGAGGCAGGAGGATCATTTGAGCTCAGGAGTTCGAGACCAGCCTGAGCAAGAGCGAGACCCCGTCTCTCTACTAAAAATAGAAAGAAATTAATCGGACAACTAAAAATATATAGAAAAAATTAGCCGGGCATGGTGGCGCATGCCTGTAGTCCCAGCTACTTGGGAAGCTGAGGCAGAATGATCCCTTGAGCCCAGGAGTTTGAGGTTGCTGTGAGCTAGGATGACGCCACAGCATTCTACTCGGGGCAACACAGTGAGACTCTGTCTCAAAAAAAAAAAAAAAATCTGTGACAAACTGTATATCACTACTATAGACAAGGAAAACGGTGTCATGGAATTGAATATCTTGGTCATGAGAAGAAACTCACAGGGCTCATGACCAGAAACATGTACTGTATTCAAATTTTAATAAGCTGATGTATAATATTAACTTCTAAAGTTTTAAAAAGGTTTTGTTCAGACATGAAATAAATTTATGTATTATTTGTGTGCTGTACATATGGAGGCAATGTATATTTGTCATGTATCAAAATGGTCTTAGTTTATCTGTAATTATACTTCTAATAATAATAATAATAATAAAACTTCTCATCAAGGCAGTCATTTTTATTTAATGAGCTCAATTCTCAAGCCTGACACCCATATTAATTCCCAACAAGTTTGTGTGGGAAATTATGCTTGTTATGCTAAAGAATTTGTTGAAGAAAATCAAGTCACCGGCTGGGATATAAGATATAACTTTCTGCCTCCTCTGCCTCTTGCAGGAAGCATCAAGCAGGGCCTAAGAGCAATTTCCATCACAATGTTTTATTCATTCTCCAGTAAAGTTACACCGTAGAACTCAATAACTCAAGTCACTTCCTTTCGCTCTCATTCATTATTAACCATGACAGAATGCCTGTCCTTTACTAGAGGATCACTTAAACCAGATGCCAGGAAGGCCTGCAGGCTTCTCGGAAATAAGATTCAGTTACTAGGACCACAGTTTCCTAACTGTCCTCTCAGTTATTGGCAACTCTGCCGGCTTCAATGAAGTCTTTCCACTTGGAGGAGAGGGCAGCTCAGTTCTCTAATTGCCAAAGTGCCTAAATGTGCCTTGCAGACTTTAAATCACATGGGTGGATCACTGAGGTGGCATAAATACCTGGATTCTGGAAATCAGGGTAGAGAGGGAGCAGTAGGTTGACAGCTGTGGTTTTTCTTGTAAACTCCTTTGGGGGGTGCTGAGAAAGTGGAGATCCTGTCACATGAACTCTGAATGTTCCATCGCTGTCACTGGATGGTCCAAGGCCTAATGCAATGAGAATGAATCTTCAAACACCCTGACACATCTACGTGTTTAGTGCCTTTGAAGTCCCCTACAAATACTTGAGGGCTGAGAGCATGAACTTTGAAACCAGCAGTCTTGGGTGTGGATCCAGCTGTGCAGTACATTGTCAGCAAGTAGCTCAACTTCTCTAAGCTTTCCCCCTGGGTGTAAAGATGGGATATTTATACCCACTTCACATAAAGTAGCTGTGAAAACGCCTACCTCAGTGCCTGGCACATAGTAGGTACTCAGGAAATTTTGTCTTCATTTCTTAATTACCTTGTTAATGGTAAGTGCCTTATTAAGTCATTGGAAGAATGAGAATCTGGTAACCAGAAACTTCAAAAGGGAAGGATAAGAGGCCAAAGGCAAAGCCAGCTAGCAGCTTTCAGCTCTCCAGGGAGCTTGCCTTTAAATGCCTCAGGTATCTGAGCTTGGAACCGGCCCACAGGAACTCCAGTGCTCAGAGAGGGTCCCAGTTTCTCCTGCGGAAGTCAGTTCTCCACACTCCAATTACAAGTGGGTTTTTTGACCTTTAGTCTGAACTATAAAGTTTGTTCTGGAACAGCTTCTGCAGCATTTAGAAATAGTTTTTAAATGATACACAGGAAATTAAAGTACAAGAACATTCTGGCAAACAACCCCCATGCTGAATTTAACCGGGTAGTTTAATCCTCAAACAGAAATTTAACAGTTACGAATGGCAAAGCTACATAAACTAACAATGGTTTAGAAAAACTGGTGGAAACAACTCACTTTCCCAGGCTTCATTCATTCAAAGCCACCTTGATTGTTTAACCTCCCAAGCACCAGGCCTCACCTATAATATTTATACTCTTCTGATTTTAACCCTGAGAACATTCCTATTCTTCAATGTCAGGATGTGTGACAGTCTCTAGAAGACCTAAAAACTAGGCTATTAGAGTGAAGAAGGAAGGACCTACGCTATTTCAAAGAACACTTCTCCAATTAATAATTGTCGTAATGTTAATCTCTCACAAGAGTGAAGGGGAAGATAGGCACTCACCAGGACACTGGCACAGAGGTTCTTGACCTGAAGCCATGGATGAATTTTTTTATTCATAACCCCCTGACTCCACAAA